AGCAGCAGCAGCAGCAGCAGCAGCAGCAGCTAGGGGAGCAGCCTCCCCCTCCTCTGCTGCGTCTTGAAGACTCCAATCATCTTCTTCACTTTCGGTTTGCTGCTGCTCAGCAGCAAACGACTGCGTCGAAAACGAGTCCATTCTTGCTGCTGCAAAGTCGCAGCTGCCTGCTGCTGCTGCTGCTGCCGCGGCGCCGCACGCGAGCCCCTCCTGCTGCTGCTGCTGCTGCACCTCCTGCTGCTGCTGCTGCTGCTGCAGCGCGACCAGCGGACCCTCAGCAGCATCTTCTTCTGCCCCCATCAGCGCAGAAAACCGAAAAGCTGCAGAGGAGCTCATCGTACACCTGAAGACTGGGCCTCTCAGCTAGCTGCAAGCAGCATGGGGAAGCCAAACTGCAGCAACAAACGGACTGCTGCTGCTGCTGCTGTTGTTGCTGCTGCTGCTGAGGGTGATGCTGCTGTTGCTGCTGGTGCTGAGGGTGATGCTGCTGTTGCTGCTGCTGCTGGTGATGATGGTGGTGATGCTGGTGGGGGTGCTGCTGCTGCTGCTGGTTCAGGTCCTGCTGCTGCTGCCACTGGTGGTGTTGTTGCTGCTGCTGCTGCTATTGGTGGTGTTGCTGCTGCTGCTGCTGCTCGTGCTGCTGCTTGGGAGCCTTCACAAGCAGCAAATTCGAATTGCTGCTGCTGCAGCTAGGTCTGCTGCTGCTACAGCTAGCTAGATCTGCTGCTGTCGCAGCTAGATCTGCCGCTGCTCCGGCTAGATCTGCTGCTGCTGCTGCTGCTGCTGGATCTGCTGCTGCATATGGTTCTGCTGCCGCTACTGCTGCTGCAGCCGGATCTGTTGCTGCTGCTGCTGTATCTGCTGCTGCTGCTGCTGCTGCAGCTTGTTTCGAGCTCATTTTCGTCGTTTTTGTTGGTTTTTTTTCGTTTTCGTTGATTTTTGAATCGTGAAATCTCCTGAAGATCATCTAATGCGAATTGGCGTTTGAAAAGTCTTCAAATTTGGATTTTAAAATCTTTTTTTTGCTGCTTGCTGCAGTTTTGGTGCTTGCTGTGGCAGTGGCCTTCGGCAGCCAAAACGCACTTGCGCCGAATCTCTCGAGAGTTGCGAAGACTTTTAATTTCTCCGAAACGGAAAGAGACATTCGCGTTGGGGGAGAACTTGCGTAAATCTTTGTTTCTTTCCTTCTTTTTTGGCTCTTTTTGGCTCTTTTTTTGTTCTTTTTGGGCTCTTTTTGGACTCCTTTTGAAGTCCTTTTTGACTCCTTTTTTGGTTCTTCTTTTTAGCTTCCTTTCAACTCCTTTTTGGCTCGTTTAGAGCTCTTTTTTCATTCTTCCCTCGTTCCGTTTCGGTTCTTTTTTGAGTCCTTTTGAAGTCTTTTTTGACTCTTTTTGGACTCCTTTTGGATTCTCTTTTGGACTCCTTTTTGGACTCTTCCTTGAACTTCTTTTAAGGCTCCTTCTGCGCCTTTTTTGAACTCTTTTTGGACTCTATTTGAGCTCTATTTGAACTCTTTTTGAAATCTTTTTTGAATTTCTTTTTTAATTCCTTTTGAACTCTTTTTGAACTCTTTTGTGGCTTTTTTGGACTTTTTTGGGCTTTCTAGAACTCGTTTTTGGCCCCATTTGGATTCTCTTTCGAACCCTTTTGGGTCTCTCTTAAGATCTTTTTTCTTTTCTTGTTTGATCTTTTTTCTTTTCATTTTCTATCTTTTTTGGTCTTCTTTTTGACCTTTTTGAACTTCTTTTTTCCCTTTTTCTCTTTTTTGATATTTACTTGAATTTCTTTTTTGCCCTTTTTATTTTTTTTTGAACTTCTTTGGATCACTTTTTGGCCTTTTTTGGCCATTCTTTTTCAACTACTGTTTTTTTATTCTGAATAACATACATAAAATAGAACAAATATAGTAATTAAATTAAAAATAGACAAAATACTTTTATTTATTTATTTATTATTTTATTTGTTTATTTATTTATTTCTGTTCAGGTTTTTGTACTACCTCCCAGGCTGCGTGGGGGCTTTGGCTGTGGGGCTCTTTGGGGGTCTTTTTGAGCCCAACTCTCTCGTGGCTTTTTTGCTGCTGCTCATTGGCCTTTCTTCCCTCCTCACCTTCTTCGTCACAAGTCTGCTGCTGCTGCTGCTGCTGCTGCGGCTGCTGTAGTTGTGGCGCTGCTGCTGCTGTTGCTGTAGTTCTGTGACTGCTGCTGTTGCTGCTGCTGCTGCAGCTGCAGTTCTGTGTCTGCTGCTACTGCTGCTGCTGCTGCATTCCTGCGTCTGCTGTTGCTGCCGCCGCATCCCTGCGGCCGTTGCTGCTTTGCTGCTGCTGCTGCTGCCTCCACAACTCCCCTCGCAGCCCTTCCCGGCCTCTCCCGTCGCCGCAGGCCTCCTTGCTGCTGCTGCTGCTGCTGCTGCAGGGTACTGGCAGCTGGCGGCGCTGCGGCTGCTGTCGGGGCTGGCGGGGGGCGGCCTGCCGCCGCTGGCCTCCTCCCTAGTGGGCCACTGGTTCGGACCACCGCTGCGGGCGGGGGCCTCGGCGCTGCTGCTGGGAGCTGCGGGTTGTGGGGTCTTCTTTGGCCAGTTTTTGGCAGCACTTTTGGGGGTTTTGGACTGGCGCTGGGCCTTCCTAGTGCTGGCCTTTCCGCTGCTGTTCATGGCCCGTTTTTACCAGCTCGCGAACGCGCGGCGCGGCGCCCCGGCGCCTGCTGCTGCTGCTGCTGCTGCTGCTGCTGCTGCTGCTGCCACGCCCGCTGCTGCTGCTGCGCGCTCGCACGCCCACAACAAACCCCAACAGGAACTCAGCCTCCAGGCACTCAAAAGAATGGTCCAGTCCAAAACCAACTTGCTCATGCTGGTCCAGGTACGCCCGTCGCCTCATGCATGCTCTTCCTGCTGCTGCTGCTGCTGCTGCTGTTGCTGTTGCTGCTGCAGTTGCTGCTGATGATGAGGATGCATTTCCGGGACTCCACTCATACTGCTTGGTGCTGCTGCTGCTGTGGCTGCTGCTTATGCTGCACGGTGGCAGTCCGGGCTTGCGGGACGCTGCTGCTGCTGCTGCTGCTGCTGCTGCCGCTGCCGCTGCATTTGTGGCTCGGACATTCGCTGCTGCTGCTGCTGCTGCTGCTTGTGGCCGTCTGCTTCAGGCGTTTCCGGGGAACGTGCCGTGGGGGGTGCTGGTGGTTTACTTGCATGACTTTTTAAGAACTGATGTCGGACTTTCCGACAGCGTGGCAATGGCAGCAGTGAGACGCGCCGGGGTGTCTGTACAGCTCAGCTGCTGCAGCTGCAGCCCGAAAAGGGGACTCAAGGGGCTTTCCCACGTTTTAGGGTTTAGGGTTTAGGGTTTAGGGTTTGAGCCCGTGTTGTTATCCTACGCCTTTCCTGCCTCTGCTGCTGCTTGTGCTGCTGCTGCTGTTTCTGCTGCTGCTGCTGCTGCTCAGATTGTTGCTGTTGCTGCAGCTTCCTTCTGCGGCATGATTGTGGGGGGCCTTATTGGGGGTCACCTCTACGCCCACAGCGGCGGTCGGCTGCTGAGGTTTTGTGCATTTACTTGTTTACTTCGGTAGGTCTTTTTGAGTTTTATTTAATTAATAAACTAATAAATTAATTTAATTAATTAATATATTAATTAATTTGTTAGTTAATTAGAGCCGAGCAGAGCGCGAGTTGGTGTACAGACACTGGACCTGGGACACCGCAGTTTGGTGTCTGTACACCCCGACGCAGACAGGGTGCATTTAGTGCAAAACAAAAAATCATTTTAATGAATTTTAAAGGACAAAATGGCGTTTTTTGTCGTTTAAAAGGCCCTGCATGCGCTCTAATTCGACTGAAATTGTGTAAATGTTGAAAATTTTAAAAAAATGATTAAAATGCACCTCAAAGAGGTGTCATGCATGCAGCGCGCCCATGGGGTGTACGTACACCGCACGCCTTACTTTTGCCCATGGCCTGCTGTAGAGGCTATATATATAAATATTTATATACATTTATCCAGTGTACTGGATATTGGGCCCAAGTACATGCATGCATGCACGCATTTATGCAATATCATGCATGCATGCAAGCAGTGGGGCCGTGTTTGTTTCATTAGTCTTGCTTTTCTTTTCATGGCTTGATTGTGCGTTGTGGCTTTTGAGCTGGAGCTGGCTGCTAGTTTTGCGGCTTAGGGTTTAGGGTTTAGGGTTTAGGGTTTCTGTGTTGCTGCTGCTGCTGCTGCAGCTGCCTGCCTTGCGTGCTGATCTTTGCGTTCCCCGCGGTTGTCGGGAAAGCCCCACAAGGCCCCGCGCTGCTGCTGCTGCTGCTGCTGCTGCTGGTTGCTGCCTTTGGCTCCACTTTGCCCACGGCCAACATTGGGGCTGTGCTGCTCAACGTCAACACAGCCGAGGTCTGCAAACCCTAAACCCTAAACCCTAAGCACTAGCCCCTGCACATAAGTGTTAAATAAAGGCCGAACGCGTAAGTTCGACGAGAATGAATTCTTTTTTGAATGCTTGTGGCTTGCTTAGGGATTATGAGGGTTTATGAGGGTTTACGAGGGTTTCCGCCGGTTTAGGGTTTAGGGTTAATCAGAGTCTATCGGGATTTTCTAGTGTTCATTAAGCCTTTCAAGGGTTTATGAGCGTTTATTAGGAACCATCAGGGCCTGTCAGGGTTTAGGGTGTAGGGTTTAGGGTTTAGGGTTTAGGGTTTGCGGGGTGTGTTGCAGGTGAGGGGCACCATCTGCGCAATTTACTCAGTCTTAGATGATGTTTCAAAAGCCCTCGGAACTGTTGTGGCTTCTTTTTTGGGGGCCCTTGTGGGGTCTCGGGCAGTGGCCTTTCAACTCTCCATGAGGTCAGCCCAAACCCTAAACCCTAAACCCTAAACCCTCAACCCTAATAAACCCTAGGCGCTCAGCTGCGAGCGTTGGGCGTTTAACGCAACGCTCGATACCCCGGTTGCTGTTTGTTGTTTGTTTCGGCTTACACGCTAAACCCTAAACCCTAACTCTAAACCCTAAACCCTAAGTCTGAACCCTAAACCCTAACTCTAAACCCTAAACCCTAAACCCTCGCACCCAGACTCTCTTTTTCGCCAGACTTTAAAGCCACCGCAAAATCCCTAAACTGTAGGGGGTTTTTGTCGGATGGTTAGGCGTGGTTTCGCTTTTAGGGTTTAGGGTTTAGGGTTTCGTTTGGCTGTGTGGCTGGGTGCTGCAGCCTGTGGCTGCTGAGTGCTGCTGCGCTGCTGGCAGCAGCAAAGACTTATGCAGCAGACGAGGCGAGGGCTTTAGCTGCTGAAGCGCAGCAGCAGGGGTCTCAGGGTTTTCGTTTTTTGTCGGACGAGGGGGCCCAAGACCGGACCCCGTTGATCCTGAAGCAGCAGCAGCAGCAGCGGGACTGCAGCAGCAGCAGCAGCAGCAGCAGCAGCTACCTGGAGCCGGACGGCGTGCGCCTCGTGCGCCACCCAGGCGCCCGCGGGGCCGTTGCCTGGGACCAAATTGAAGAAGATGGAGGCTATTTGAGGCGTTTGTCCCGTCTTTAAGACTTTTAATTTGACATTTAAAGGATTATTTTCATTTATTTCCTTTCAAGGAGCCCCTGCGCGGCGCCGAACGAAGAACGCAGCGCGCCGGACACCCTGGGGTGTCTGTACACCCCGAGGTGTCTGAGGTGTCTGCGCACCTCGGGGTGTCTGTGCAGGTCTTGTCCGCATGCAGTCAACACTAGACCTTGTTATTTGTATGCATTTATGCATATACATTTGTGCACAACTGTTTATTATTTATATTTATTTATTTCTTCATTTATAAATAAATACTTTCCCAAACATTTCTCCATTTCTCAAAAGCTAGTGCAGCCCCGCTGGCCGGGGCACTGGGACACTGGGGCAGCGAGGCCAAAGAGGCCTTTTGCAAACCAGTGAAAAGAATTCAAAAGTCAATTACTTAGGGACTCCTTGCATGCAAAGGTACTGCATGCCTGCATGCATGCATGCACGCGTGCATGCATGCATGCAATAGTGGCGCTGCTGCAGCGCGTCGGGTTATTGTATTTTGTTCTCTGAGGTCAAATGAGCTGCCGCTGCTCCTTGGCTTTTAGGGCAGTGCAGCCCCACACTGCGTGCATGCGCGTGCATGCATGCGCGTGCATGCATGCAACTCGCATGCATGCATTTATTGGGGGGCTTGGGCAGGTGTTTGTTGCAGTGTTGCTGTCAGGGCAGCGGCTCTTAGGGTATTTCGGATTTCTTTTCCGTTTCATTTTAAACCTTTTAAGGTTTAATTTCTAGAGCTGAGCAGCGCGGGCTTCACTGCTGCTGCTGCTGCTGCTGCTGCTTACTTGAGCCTGTGCTGCTGCTGCTGCTGCTGTTTCTGCCTAGTTAATCTGCTGCTGTTTCTGCCTAGAGTTACGCTGCTGCTGTTACTGTCTGGCTGCTGTTACTGGTAGTGTCGCTGCTCACTTGAGCTGCTGCTGCTGCGGTTGCTGCTCTGTTAGTGTGCTGTTGCTGCTGTTCATTGAATCTGCTGCTGCCTCTGCAGCAAAAGGCCCCACTAAGGGCCGCTCTGTTGTGCAGCAGCTGCAGCGCAGCTGCAGCTCGAAGTGCCGCAAAGTGCAGTTTTGAGGGCAGCTGAGGAGGCCCTCCAGGGGTTCCCCAGCAGCAGCAGCAGCAGCAGCATCAGAAATATAGCAGTTTAGAGCCTCTCGGAGCTGTTATTGTCGCGGCGCTGCTGCTGCTAGGAAGCAGCTGCAGCAAGAGAGTTTCGGAGGCGGTCTGGTGCTGCTCGCCGTCCCCGCTGTGGTGATGGAGGCGCAGCAGGGCTGCCGGGTGCTGCTGCTGTGCTGCTGCTGCTTAGGTGTTGCTGCTTTGCTGCTGAGAAGGAAGCAAAAAAAGCCCGGCAGCATCTGCTGCAGCGGGAGCGGGCGCCGCAGCAGCAGCGGGAGGCCCCCGAGGGCGCGTGGCTGCTGCTGCTGCTGCTGGCGGTGCTCTGGGTGTGGCCCGCTGGCTGGTTTCTGAGTGGGAGGGCCGGAGTCTGTTTGTGAATGCGTTGTTGGGGAGTAAAAAGGGAAGCGGAAAAGAAAAGAAATCGAAATAGAAATGAAGTGGAGGGGGAGTTGCAGAATTTGGGTTTGGGGCGCGGGCTGCGAGCTGTAGGTACAGCCGGCGCATGCGCCGACAGGGGTTGCGGCGTTGGCTGCGCGGCGGGTCGGGGTTCTTTTGCGTGGAACCGGGGTTGAAAAAAGGGCTTTTGGAGAGAAATAAGAATTAAAAGGGAAAGTTTGAAAGCATAAAGCTCGGGGGGTTGGAGAGAAAGCATGCAGCTCCCGCTGGCCGTTTCGGCAGGCAGTGCAGCAGTCGCAAGCGGGCGGCGGCGCGGGGCCGCTGGAGCTGTGTGTGGCTGTTAAAGGCGCCAGTCAGCAGCGATTTCCATAGTTGGGAACATTTGGGGAGTGCGAGTGTCTCGGGGGGCCCCTCTTCAATGCGGGTGAGCCGCGGGCAGGCGCCGACGGGGGGGCCCGGCGGGGCCCCCGCGGCGCTGTCGCCGTGGGGGCGTCTGTGGGCCGCTGCCTGGCGCCCCGCGGCGGCGGCCGCCGCTGCTGCTGCGGAGGGGGCGGCCGCTGCGGCCGCGTCGGGCGGGGGGGCCTCGGGGGCCCCCCGCGGGCGGGCAGGGGGCCCCCCGGGGTGGGGGCTGGGGAGCGTCGGGGCGGGGGCGGGGCTGCTGCTGCTGCTGGCGGGCGCGCTGCCGCCGCTGCTGGCGAGCTGGGGGCCGGCGGCGCAGGGGCTGTCGGTGGCGGCGCTGCCGGCGGCGCAGCAGCAGGAGCTGCGGGCGCTGCTGCTGCGGAGCCTGGGCTCGACGGCGCTGCCGCTGTGCCTCTACCTCGCCTTCCTGCTGCAGCAGGCGCAGGTGCAGCAGCCGCAGGCGCAGCAGGCGCTGGCGTGGAGCGCGGTGCACGGCGCGGGCGCGTGCTACCTGCTGCTGCTGCTGCTGCTGCTGGCGCTGCCCGCGCGGCTCTGCCGCGAACTGCTGCAGCTGCTGCTGCCCGGCTGCTGCAGCGGCGGCAACGTCTTCACCGGCACGCTCATCCTCGACTGCTCGCTGCGCCGCAGCACGCTGCTGCGCCAGCTGCGCTCGCCCTGGTTCGCCAGCCACGCCCTCGGCTGGTTCCTCAAGATGAGCCTCTACCGCAGCTGGCCCTGCGCCCTCGCGCTCTCCCTGCTTTTCGAGGCCGCAGAGGCTTCGCTGCACTGGCTGCTGCCCGAGTTCCAGGAGTGCTGGTGGGACAGCGTGGTGCTGGACGCGGTTCTGTCGAACCTGCTGGGGATGTTCGCGGCGGCGGCTGCGCTGCGCGTCGCCCGCGCGGCGCCGCGCGACTGGCTCGCCGCGGGCGCGGGGGGGGCCCCCTGCGCGGGGGGGGGCCCCCCGCCGCGGCGGGA